AGTAGAGCGTACAGCATTCGTGCCACTAACTTCTATTCTGGGCCATATCTCTCTTAGTCGAATGTCGGCAACATCGGCGTTCGTGTGTCTTCTCGATTTCTTCGTAACCTTGGTCCACTGCAATTCTCCATTCTCTCTTCGACTTTGAAATTTCAAATCTTTCTACCCCTTCATCTAAATGGGCACTCAAAAGTCAGCAACTAAAGGCGATGCGTGAAATGCATGTTTAGTGGTTGTAAAAACTGAATTGAAACTAATTCATCTATCCTAAGCTTACGCTCTTCACGTTCCACATTATCTATCAACGCGTCTAAATATAGGGATGACACCTCACGAGCCAAAGGGGAACAGCTACATTTTTTGAAAGAAATTACTCTGTTCTCTGTCGGCAACCAGTTTGCTCCCTCTGTACGTTCTCCACAATACTTTGGTGTTACGTACTGTCCTCCAAGATCCCACGAGAACTTCACATTTCAAGTGCATTTTTGAAAAATTGATAACCATGTTTCCTTATTTCTCGTTTGCGACTTTTAAAACTTCCACTGTATCTACTCACTCGTTTTGTGTATTTTTAGGTTGACACAAATCTTTACTGCTTCCCAGTTTTATTCATCAGTCCTTGAAGAAAGTGCAGTTCTACGTCGATTTATTAAAATCGATTCGCGCACAAACGGTGTTCCCTATTGACACTTGTTCAATCTTATCACCGAGAAACATTTTGCCTCTTATAAAAACTGCAACAATATTCCTCCAGATATCACTCACCGCTTATAACCTAAACTGATTATATCCACTTCCGCAACTAGATGTCATTATAAACTTGAATATGCTCGGACCATCACCGGTACATCGAAGTGGTGAAGAGAAAAACCTTGGGTAAACACGATTCATTTGCAAATTTTCGCACCACCTTCCTCTCTTAAATTTATGACGTTGTATTTTACTTTTTCTCCGGGTCTGTATGCAATGATAAATGACTCTGGTGTGTGCAATGAGCTGAAAATCCATCCATTCGAGTGAATAAAGCTATTCGTGACTTGACTTAACTTGACTTGATGCTTGTCCGGCACATTTGCTGTGGTATAACAAAACTGTGTTAAAGTTTATTTTTATTATTATAGTTAATGGCAGTAACTTGGAACCCTAATAAAATCACTGAATGTTGTTGCACGCTAATATTTCTTTGTGGCAAGCCATTCGTTCTCTAAATCGAAAATCTCATTGGTGCATTGTGCATCCGCTTCAATGTTCTAGATGCTGGATTGTTCATTGTGGGCTCCTCAATGAACGGGTTTGGATCAGATCAGAGTGATATGGATATGTGTTTGACAGTGACCTCCCAAGATTTGCAACAAAAGAAAGAAGCATTTGCAGTTCTTAGTCAACTGTTACCTCCTCTTCGCAACTGCAGTAAGTTCGAAGTGTTTTGATTGTTTATTCTGTTTTATCTCGTCAATTTCTGTCTGGTATTCTACTAGAGTGCTATACGAATCTCGCTTCCCTTATTCCTTCCTTTCTTGCCTAAACTTTTCACTACATGACGGCTATGATCGAGCGGCGTGAGCCGTGAACGCTTCTTACACTACACCGTGTGAATTCCCTCATCGCCGCTTAATTTTCCTCTATATTCCAACAAGAAATAAAGTATTTCAATCATCGAGAGATGGCTCATTAGTATTGTTTTGTTCTGTGCGCCTCAAAGACCCGGCGGGCTACATATAATTCACTTCTTCATGCTCAAAAATCTGCATGGTATAAGTAAATGAGACAGTTTATTAGTTACTGTTGAATTTACAGCGTGCTAAAATGCATTCAACTTGGAATACGCTAAGGATGTCCTTTATCAGTACGAAACCCTTACCTGACAAACTGAGTAGCTGGTTGTGCTTTGGTCTCGCTTATTGCACTTTCATAGTACCAAGAAGCCGATGTACTCCCTGAAAACCGTTTTCTCCGAGACAGTCAATTTGATCAAAGATTATCCAACTCAGGTGATTGATCAGAATCCACGGTCAATTAATACAATTGACAATCGTTTCGAGTAAACTGATGATGCCGCCTTAGTTTTCGCACACTGTTTTGTCTCCTCTTTAGAGAAAGGAAGTAGAATGGACGTGGTTCAGTCTTTTTGGCAAGTTTCAGTTTTCCAAGTTGCTCATAGCGAGCGATGTGGCGGAGAACACTTTGCGTAGATTTCCGTGGATATTCCGTTGTCACCGAAATTCCGCGGTTTGAGATGGCTATACATATACTGACGGTGAAGCGCAGTTAGCTTCGTTTGGCGACGATGCTAAGGAGGTTGGATTGGACGGCGATTGAGAAAAAGACTAAAATGTTCCACCCGCCGAGAAAATTTTCCTCCCACATCGGAAATGAGCTTTCAGGATGCGGTGCGCAACACGGACTGGGTTAGCTGTTTCTTACCCGATGATGATCGCGTAAATTGAAAGAGGGTCCCTGTGTTACCCAGATTGACTGCTGTCTTCATTTTTGTTACCATTTCATTCCAGTAGTTGCATATATCTTCTGGGATCACGGTAAACAGAGGATTCAACTAGTTCTTCCTCTCCGGCCGCATTTGCTAACTGGATGTTGTGGTCGGATATTCAGTCTTCCAGGCGATGTGAGCTATTTTCTAGTTCGGGCGGAGCAGCTTGCTGTACCGATGACCTGAGCCTGGTTTACTAAGTTTCAACCGAACTCCTTGTGCTTTCTTGCATATCGAGGGTATCGTGCAACAATGGTGCAGTTATCATGCCCTTCGCGGTCTGGCATCTCTCGCTGTTTTCGAATGGAAGCACGTCTCGACGTTCTGACTGGACGGTCTTTTTGTGAGTCGTTAGATGGAGTCTAACTTTCGCGCGAACTAGCAAATGATCAAGTCTGCTTTATGTTCCAGCTTCGCGATATGATCGACAGTCTTCAACCGAAGAAACCCATCTTGGACGGATTAGACGGCAATGCAATTGGTGANGAGCTTTTCTTCTGTCTTTGGAGCAATACGCCAGGAGATGCTTTCTGGAATGTCCCAGCCGCGTGTTAGTGATAATCAGTCGATTATAGTCGGTAAAACTGAGTAGTCTGCCATCATCCTCGCAGCACTGGCCCAAACCAAACATACCTTCGATGTTCTTCGTGACCTCTTATTGTGGGCCAGTTCGTGCGTTCCAGTTCCCAGCAATGGCAGGTATACCACTTTTGGGTACTTCATTAACTAGCGATTGAGGGACTACTATGGATAATCATGCAACGCACGTATCGTTAACACCTGACTCTTTGCATCTAAAAGTGTTTTTACGTTCCAGCATCCAATATAAGAAGTGTTGCATTGCTTAAGGTGTCCAATGCTCATACTTGTCACCCGAGCCACTGGAGGAGCACAGGGTGCGTCGCTTCCCGGGAACGCCGCAGCACGATTAGCGAGACAAGTTAAGTGAATATCCATGAAATTTCTTGGTACAGAAAACGTAACCAGCCATCCCTGGCTTTCAGTCGTGGCATCTGTAGCTTTGCACTTCCAAATGCTAACTGCAAGGCAGCAGGAAGGTAGTGCGGGGTTGCCGGTGATCCTCTAAGGCAAGGGAGAGGCATACGCCATTGACAGTTCCTAGCTGAACACAGGTCCATGCATCCCTGATGAGTATGGAGTCATTATCTTGAACGTTGAGTCATGAAAGCGAATTCGCTCACGCAGAACGTACGTTAGACACCGAATCGCCGGGATTTGAGCTTCCAGTTATCCTCAACCTGATATGACCCACCTGTCGAGCGGTTTAGCGGAGTGTGGCCGCTGTTGAAACCAGACGGCTTCCTGAAGCTGAGCGCATGATGGAGATCAATGGACGGAGGATGCCCAAAAGGGACCGATAGCCCTCCAATTCAGAGGTGCTACTCCTACCGGGGTCCCCATACACTCCGATGATGAGTAACCGGCTATATTGGTTTTCTTGTCGAATGAGACCGTTTGAAGCGTCGTTTTTGTATCGTTGGTATGTCCAGTCTGTGTTGCTTCACTTTGATCCTCAAGTGCCAAGCAAGACTGCCCACAAACGGGACACGAATTAGCACTTATCTTATATTTCGCGAATTCATCCTAACATTTTCTGACCATAGTTACCTCTGAGTAAGTCATAACTGTTGTCCTTATGATGCTCATAAAACTGACTTATCCTCTGACACAAAAGCTAGTTCCATAAGAAGTAGGTAAGTTGCTTCCCCTGCGAAGTATAGAAGTTAGATTGACAGTGCTTGTTTCTAAGGTGTGTTTGGTGTTTCTAGTCGATCCAGTGACACGGCATTTCCTTAAGCCAGTGATACAGCGTAATAACTAAATATATGTTAAAAAAATTGGAGCAAGTAACCAGAAGGTGTTTCGTCAGAGCTATTCGCGTTTCTTTGTTTATACGCTACAATGAAACTATCTGAAGCTAATTAGACTGGTGGAAACATTCTGCTGTCCAGTTGGTTTAGTGTGATTTTCAACTGTCATCTAAGTGCTTTGCTAGTGCATGTTGTTTGGACGTTGAAATCTTGTTTTAGTAGCAAATATTGAGGTAGAAAGACATCCATGGCCATTCCTTTTATACCGAGCACTGCCTTCTACAGATGACACGCATTCCATGTCATATACAACACAACAAACACAAAATTACTGAAATTTGCCGAGGCCCTAGCCATTCACACTCTCAAACCTGATCTATGCAAACAACGCGAATAGTTAGTCACATTAGCTTTGCCTTGGTGATTGACCTCCTGCCTTATCTCGTCCTCCTTTTTGTGTTTTTGCGTTGCGTTGTCCGTTGTGATTAGCGATCTTGTGTTTTTTCTCTCAAATCTGTTATCTCACTGATTATAAAAATCACTTGGACTGCAGTATGCACGTGTACAGATGCAGCGAAATGACCATGGACACATTGTGCAAACCCATGTTTCTGACTTTTCTGTTCAAAACTGTCCTACATTCCCATGCATTTCTAACCAATGTTTGCCAATCGGATACCGACGTATATTATACTCTCTACTGCATTCCATTATGCAAATTTCAGTGTCTTTCGGAATCCTAAAACTGCTAGGGTTGATCATTTTTGCACTGCACCAGAACAATTTAGTGTTCTTATATTGATAATTGATTTTTGACCTATCGAGATCGTGGTTGGTGGTTACCTTTAGTTTCACACAACTATCTTTTGTCTTGTCTCCTTTTTTTTCTTTTTTTTTCCGCTTCCAGGTTTCATTCGCAATCTGAATCTGATTCGAGCCAAAGTGCCTATTTTGAAATTCCGTGATACGCTGGCTGGCGTGGATTGCGATTTGAATGTGAACAATGTTGTGGGTATTTATAATACACATTTGCTAGCTATGTACACAAGAAGTGAGTTATGTGGATGTTTGTTTATGTGATTATTATTTAATGCAACACCTACTCCGCACCTACCTAATGAGCAGGCTTCGTAGTCGCTTTATGTGCGGAGAAAGTATTACAAGGACAATCCCAGCACGTTTACGTGGCTTATACTACTAGGATCCTGAGTGTGCGTGTCTGATACGCAGCAGACGTCAACTCCTAAGGAGTTCATTGCACACCCGACAAACCTGGTGACCCACCTACCCGAGAGGTTTTAAGTTGGAGCTCTCCAGAATCAGAGTTTGATGAGGCTTCAGCATGTTCAGCTTATCTGGTGGTAAACGACTTGTAGTGCAATTTGGCAGAAATCTTTGACGAGTGGCAAACAAGTTGTCTAAGGAGGATTTACGAGTCAAAAGAAGAGGTAAAGAGAGAGTATGAAAAATAAATAATTGAACAAAAGTTAGATTGTCTAAGCAGTAGACAATCTATCATTATTCACTGCTCCTTGTAATGGATAGCACTGCTTATCCTGCATGAAGCGCGATGCGATATCTAATTCTTTATAGTTCGTGTATACACTAGAGTTTGATGGATAAGTACTGCTAGGAGAACGGTGAGAGTTCTCAGCCAAATCAATTTCTTCTGATGAGAACCTAACCGGAAGGCAATGGGTGAGCAAGATGGTGACCCATTTAGTGAAATCGAGGGCTGCATCGTTTTTGCCAACTCTAGTGAAACCCATAACTTGGAGCATCAAGAGGTGGCTTGATCTGATATTTATCCTCCAAACTGTCGGACATGATAAGATCTTTTTTGTGAAGAAACAAGCTGTCGGACTGCAAGGAAGCACAATCCATCACACCACATTCCGACAGGGATACTTTCTTTCTCCTGCAAAATATTCTAACTTTTGTGAACATTAATGTTCTGGTGTTTTTCTGATGTATTTTACATACGTACATGCGTCAATTCGCCCCGTAATATGTTGGAGGTTATTCTTTCGAGAATTACTGCTATTGCTGTCACTAGTACTACTACTACTTCTATGATTACTGCTTCTAATTTTATTTCCGCTTATTCGATATACATCATCATCATCGTACAGCGAAATACAGTTAGGCGAACTTCACTTATCGCTGCCAAATTCGCAATGCATACAAGGTTAGTGGTAAAATTTAAGGTGGACGGGGATTTGACCTACTTTGAGGGAGGGAGAAGAAGGTGAACCGCTATGGTCAACACAGAATGGATAATCAAACTCAGCATACATACTGTTTCAAGCGGTCTGGCCTGATAAGAAATGACATCAAGAAGGCCACTGCTGTCGGTTCGCCGCCCTATCCTTCAATGTCTCCAACCAGTCGGTTGTGGAGTCTTTCAGACCCCAACCTAGGAGGCGAGATACACCTACTCTACCTAATGGCTCTGAGCATTTCTTCGATATATGATCAGGGTATTCAGTATGCAGGGCGCGGCCGATTGGCTTTCGACAAACAAGAGGTTGAAAATAAGGATGTGATAGACTGTTTTAAACTAGAAAACCATATTCGGGCGTCTTGGACCGCTTGATCACCACCACCCAAAGTTATAAAGAGTAGCGTTTTTTCGTTTTCCGTTGACAGTTATCGTTGACAATTTATGGAAATATTCCGTTGGATGATGATAGTTAAGTCAAAGATGCAATTTACCATCAGTTTGTTTCGTTATCCCTTTTTCACCTGTTCCTGTAACACTTTGTTCCGTCACCGAAAGCCTCAGTACAGTCGGGGTTGGGTGTCTTAGGTTGTGGCTGGTCACTCTTCTCTTGAACCTCGAGAAATGCTCCTCTGGCGACCAAGTGTCTCAAATAGCCTCCGCTGAGAAATCCCTGCTCACTGCGTTCCCGCGGCGCAGCGTTTTCTCGCCAGTGATAGGACACAAAGCCAATATCCGGGGCTATAACCGGGTCGGTGAACCACTGGCAGTTCACATAGGGGAGTTGGCCAAAAACCACACCTACCTTCCTGGTAAAGGTAATGGTCACCGGCTCAATTGGTTATCGAAGTGTATTGGGCACCTTGGATGTTTAATCTCGTTCGATTGGCATATGATTTGATGGACTGGACACCGGCCCCCAACGGGACACGATTTTCACCGACCCCGCTGCTTTGCGGGTCAGGCTTTGTCTAGTCGAAGGCTCTGGTTGTGAATTTCCCCTAAAAATCAACCTTTCTTTGACCGGGGCAACCGGATGGAATTCCACTCTTGAGCAAATCATGGACCTTTTTCTCTTTATAAAGATTATTGTACCATGATTTGTTTGGCACGCGGTCTGACCTCAGACGTGTGGGAAGTACAATAATAATCCGTGACCGACGCCGAGAAATGCAAAGCTTGTACATAGACAACACAATTTCAGTGGGAAGGAACATCCAATCAAACTTGTCCAGCATCCAGAACTGTTATCGGTTCACACAAATAGTCCTTAGGGCGCAAAGTTGCTCTCTCGAATGATTAGAGAAATAGTCAAATAGAGCTAACAAGCAGGGCAACTTCAGGAGGTGGGCATGCATGCGTTAGTTTTGGAATTGACAAAACTCCTGGGTTCAGTATAGGAAAGGGAAGAGGTTTCAGCTGAATGGTGTGAGTCGGTGATCACACCGATTTACAAGAAAGGTGACAGATCCTCCTGTGAAAACCATAGAGGAATCAGCTTAACCAACGTCGTCTCTAAACTTCTCACTGGCATCATACTCCGCCGATTGTCTGCCGCACGTGAACCGTGTACTCGTGAGAACCAGGCCGGTTTCAAACCTGGTCGAGGCTGTATTGACCACATCTTCACACTCCGTCAAATTCTATATCATAGACACTCCTTTCGTGGACCCACCATTTTTATTTTCCCCGATCTAAAAGCGGCTTTCGACTCAGTCGACCGCTCTAAACTCTGGCGCTGCCTTTCCCTGCCTTTCATAGATTTAATTCTTGAAACAGCCCTATCCTCGTGCAGAGATAGCGGTATCGA